GATTTGAAATTAACGTTCGGCCACCTCTTTGATATGAGAGTGTATACTTCATCAAACGTTGACCCAATGTGCATAGAGAACACAAACAATTCATTTTTATACGTACAACTCCCTAGTATATCACTTTGTGCCCCTTCCATGTATCTAACAATAATTGGATAAATAAAAAAAAAAAAAAACTTCACATTTTCCAGGAAAATATGGTATAAAACAGTATTAAAGTGGTACTATATACATACAAACAAAGGTACAATAATCAATAATAGTGGTACAGTGATCATTCCCACCTTATTTTCTTGTTTTAGGGTGAATAACACATTACATAACTTAACAATAACATCAATTCGTATACATAAACAAGAAATAAGAGATTTTGATCAATTTAATTGATTTAGGGTTAATATGAACAACAATTTTCAAAATTCAATCCCTAACAAATTAACCAAATATATACGAATTAAACATGATTTTTGGACTCCAATGTGCATAGAGAACATAAACAATTCATTCTTGTACGTACAACTCCCTAGTATATCACTTTGTGCTCCTGCCATGTATCTAATAATATTTGGATAAATAAAAAAAACTTCTCATTTTCCAGAAAAATATGGTACAAAACAGTATTAAAGTGGTACTATATACATGCAACAGAGGTACAATAATCAAGAACAGTGGTACAGTGATCATTCTCACCTTATTTTCTTGTTTTAGGGTGAATAACACATTACACAACTTAACAATAGCATCAATTTCATATACATAAACAAGGAATAAGAGATTTTGATCAATTTAATTGATTTAGGGTTAATATGAACAACAATTTTCAAAATTCATCCCAAACAAATTAACCAAATATATACGAATTAGACATGATTTTTGGACTCCAAAATGCTCATATAATACATATATTACTTGCTAGTTCAAATTTTGGCCGGAAAAAGCACGAATGTTTCCGGAAAAAATGAATTCTTGGCCGCACAAATTTGACATCGGAATCACTTCTTTGGCCGGATTTGTTGTTGCCGGAGTTCTTCTTGCTGGATTTGGGTCGCCGGAGAGACCGACCTGCAAAAAAAAAAACAATGGAAGCAGTCGCCGGAAATGGAGGAAGACGGGAGAGTGATGGGAGGGAGGGAGAAAGGGTGTAGAGAAGATTGATCAAAAAGTAATAAAATACTATTATGTGTTGTGGTTGGTGGAAGAGAAAACAAATAAAATAATATGTTAGTGGGATGATGTAATAAAGCATTTTAGTTTTGATTTAATTTTTACATTAGGGAGTTAGGAGGAAGAAAATTAAGGAATTAAGGAGTTGAAAGGAAGAAATAAAGGTATGGGGACTGAGGAGGAAAATGAAAAAGCACTTAGGGATTTTAGGAGAAGTTGCCCATATTTTAATAGGAGAAAATATACTACATAAAATAATATTCTAAAAATAGGAAAAAAAGGAAAAATATGAAAATTGTAATTTTAAATAAAATAAAAACTATAGTTATACAAATTTTCTTTGGTATATGTTTGATTTATATATTATTCACATGTTACTTAAAATTATTTTTTTGCAATGATATTTGATTTGCAAGACTGGCTGGTGAGGTCATAATTTATATCAACTTTTAACTAAATTAGTTAAAAAGATACAATATTTTAAAATTATTGACTTAATGTATTGCAACTATATAAAAACATATGTAACTTTGTAATAAAGTCTGCGATTTTAAGGAATATGTCAAATTGAAATATATCTATTTACCTAAATCGGAGATTATATTTCTCGTTTGATTAAAATATACAAATTGAAAGCATATTATATATAGTGGTATTATACTGCATATAAAGATATGTATATATATATATATAAATCAAGGCTTAGGATATTCTTAAGATATAACCGATTTTCCTCAAAATCGCCAAAAAAAATCAAATCAAGTAATAAGTTTATATCATATAAATCTACATTTTAAAACTTAGAAAATAAGTGCATATATATGCACCAAAATTTCATCTATAAATAAACTCACAATCCTGGTAAAATGAAATCTAATACTAATCATAAACTCACACATTCAAGATAAAGGCATGGATCAACCCTTGGTCTAATCAAGAATTTTAAATGAAATACGAAGGTCATCTTGAAACTTCCAGCAGCATCTTTAAAACGATGTTTGATGTCTCTTACAGAAGTTATTTGGAAATAGTTTTCCACGATAGTGACGTTAGTATTCTTCATTATGTGATTTAATAGTAGTTGTCAATATTTATTATTTTAATATTTTTTGACGAAAATATTATTTTTGTATTGCGATTTTACAGGTGGCTGCATAACTAGACTAATTCGTGACGTTAACATTACAAATATGAGTGACAAGTTCGAGGATGGTAGAAAGTAACATTGATAAATAACAATATATTACTGCAAAGTGTTACCGATTTTCCAACGTTTTAATTTTGACTTTTGTAATTTTGCTACGCAGCAAAATGTTGACAATATAGATTTTCAAAAGCAAATGGTTATGTTTTTAATTTTATTTTCAAATATATAGACATACGTGTGGTTGTGTTTTACTTTAGTTTTCTACGTGTTATGTTATTAACGTATATCTCATCGTTTAATATAAATATTAATATATATCTCTTACCCGTGCATCGCATGAGATTCGTACTAGTTTCTCTTAATATAGATAGATGCAGATATAAATAGATAAATTCTTAAATGATTCCAATAAAAATCCTTTTTATTTTTTCAAAAGAAAGAAATAAGGTACACATTTTTGGCAGATATCAAACTTAGTATATTAATTTGAAAAATTTGTCAAATAAGATACACTAATCATTACTGACAGGTTAAAGGCCAGATTATCACAGGCTTGAAGTGGGCTAATCATGGGCCGAAATTGTAGTTTGTTTATATAATTTTGTGCGGGCAATTGATTAAGGAAGCGAACTTCACTTTGTCTGAAATTTTGGCTATATAACCGTCTCAATACAAAGAATTTAACGGTGGATCAAATACTGGAAACTGACATGAGACGACACCATAATTAAGCTAAAAATAGAACAATCTATATTATTTTGGACGAAAAATTAATTGGGCAAATGAAATTTAATTGAACTAAAAATTTGTGGTTACGATCGTCTTAATAATTTAAATCCAACAGTGAGTCAACGGACTAAAACGTACACCATAAGACAACAAAATGGCCCCTAGATAAATGAACTATAATTGGACTAAAAGATTGTAGATACGACCGTCTCGACTAGAAGAATCCAACGGTAGGTTACCCACTTTAAACGAACATCAGAAGACTATCGAATTAGACCAGAATGGAAACGACAAATTTTATCATGTCACTAACGATTAGAGTACCTTATTTGATGAATTTTTTAAATTAATGTTTAAGTTTGACGTCTGCCAAAAAAATGGACAATTGCTAAAAAAGACCAAAATAATGGACTAAAAATAGGATTATGCCAAATAAGAAAACACGGGTCGTCTCAATTGATGATACATGCGGAGTAATTATTATAATAAGATAAGATATCAAAGAATCAAGTAGTCATAAAAAAGTTTAAGCAGCAGTCAAAATGTTGACAAAAAGCGCACAAGAACCGTGATGTGGTTTGTTTGTCCCTCTGGAAAGCAATAAACAAGAGCACTTCCTCGGACACAACAGGCATGCCAACCTTGCACAATTCATGAAATAACTAAAATTGACAAGTACAAAAGGCCAAACGATTTTCTTCCCAAGAAATTATGATCAGACAGCACGAGTCACATATAAACAAACCTTTTACATCATGCATTTTTAGATAATAAAAAAAAAAAGTGGAATTTATGCAGTAACTAAAACTTGTTCTATTTTTTTTTTATTTTTTTTTGGAAAATAAAATTACATTGAAACAACTAAAAACTTAATACATCCTTGAAGAAAGAGGAGAATATAATGGGGAGAGAATCCTTCCAAAAGCAAGAAGATAGAGACATTGTCGCATAATTTGTTATTTTATGAGCAACTTGATTCTTCTTTCGGAGAATGTGTCCACACGTACTATACTTCAGGATAGATAGGAGCTCTCTTATATCATAAAATACTTCCAAGAGAAGATCGCAATCTTCCATCTGACTGAGCCCTCCAACGACACCTAAAGAATCCGTCAAAACCCCCTGAAGTTCCAAGTCTGAATCTCGGGCACATCGTAATCCATATCGAATGGCCAAAGCTTCCGCTACTAGAGGAGAGAATGAGCCCTTGATACACGTAGTAAAAGCGGCCTGACAAATGCCATCCGAATCCTGAATCCAACCCCCAAGACCAATATATGTATCTCGATCTGCAGCATCACACAAAAGAGTCCAACCATTTCTACACGTTCCATTTCTTCGCCAACAATAAATCAAGTCGCGACATGGTTTCAACCCATTATCAAGCAAGCCTGATTGCGCGTAGTCAAACTCCTTCAACCAAGATAGCCCAAATTCCCAAGCTTCTTCCGGCTTCTTTTCTTTTAATTTTAGAACCACAACGCCAACACCTATTATCAAGAACAAATTTGAATAAATATATTGAATTTTCTTTAGTCCTATAAGTTGAGATGGCCAGCGGGTCACAAAAAAATTGCGACAATGGATCTAAATTTCCAGCATAAATCCTTAGTTTTAAGGAGACAAATCACATTTCACAAATTTAGTATTTGCAACAGTTAATTGCATCGCATTAAACGGTATAATTTTTATTTTTATTTACTCTAAAAGGTTAAAACGGACTCGAAAAATATGATTACAGCATACATACACATGATATGGTCAGTATAACAACGTGTTTTTTAAACCAACACAAGCTGATAAAATAAAGAGAACAAAAACATTCTCATTCACAACATCCAAAGGTAGTTATTAATTCGCAAATTAATTATGTGCAACCAAAGTAAAAACACAGTGTACGTATTTCATTATAACCAACCACACATCAAACAGAAAATTAAATGAGTGCGAAAATGAGCTATCTTGTTAGGCTGACTCTTGGAGACGACGTGGAAGAAGAAGATGACGAATTCGAAGATGCCCAAAACTGGGCATTCTTAACCTTTGATATGCTCTTCAGTACACCTAATGGACTCACATCACCAGTTACCGTCACTTTTTTTGTTGCCAAATCTATACTGAATGATGTCACACCTGCAAATTGCAAATATAGAGTCATAGACTTAATCCATCTAAATTAGAGCTTTACAGACATATTTATAATTGAAAAAAAAAAAGAAAATGATTGCACCCAACTCTCAAGTATAGTATAGAACAACACATTGTGTGTACACATAAATACATTTTTCGTTAATTTAATATTAAGATTTTGTTTGGAGATTTTAGTTAGTTTTTAGCTAGTTTTTCATGTATTGTACCTGTCCTCTAATTAAAATTCAATTTTAACCCCAAATTAGAAAGAAAAAGGAAAATGAACAAGAAAAAAAAGGTACTTGCCTTCCATTCTTGATATATATTTTCTGAGTTTGCCTTCACAGCCCTTGCAATGAATTGATACCCTCAACTCAACTACCTGTCTTGCAAAACAAGTTAATTTTAATTAATAAGCTTAAAAACTACGATTTTGCTATAAAGCCAATAGTTGGCTTCATAGTAGAACCAACCTTCTATATATATCAAATAAACTTACCATATTCATAAAATTATATTAGTGTTATTTAGGTAATAAAAGAATATGATAGGTTTATTTGATGTATATAGAAGCTTGGCTCCACTATGGAGCCAACTGTTGGCTCCATAGCAAAACCGTAAAACTAACCCAAACAGATATATAAATTAAAAGAAGAAACTAAAATGATGTACAAAATAAAAATATCATTCTCGGCAGTAAAAATTGTTTAAATCTATATATATATAATAAGAATTAACATTTACCATAAATAGTAGTAAGGAAAAGTCAACCCATATTTATTATATACTATTTTCAGTAATTTTTTTTTATTTTACATTTTAATTTTAATTCATTATCAAAAAATTGGATGATTCCTAAATTAATGGATTTTAAATACACCTATCATGTTTCAAAAATTATAAATCATTTAAAATTGGATGGTTCCTAAATTAATGGTTACAAACTTTTCAAAGTACATAATTTATATTAATGTACGATAAATATAAGGTTTTCAGAATCGGACCGTCATCGAAACGATCAAGTTATTTTATTAAATTATTTATGGTTGTTCAGATTTTAATACATTATACTTTAGTGTATATATATAGTACTTTTTGTAGTAAATTTAAATAAAAATTGTTACTTAAATATCTAAATAATTTATAAATTCAAATGTTTAAACTAATTGATAAACAATTTATAAATCTCTATTTTATTTATGTAATTTTATTTAAAATAATTTTTAATGTAACAAAATTTGTTTAGAAAATCCTATCAGTCCAACAGACTGGTGTTGACGAATTCGATAGCAGATATTTTATTCAAGCGCACTAGACTGGTTATAAACCGGTTCTCGGTCCATCCGGTCGGACTGTGTCCGACCCAATTTAATTTAAAAATAATAAATAAATTATAATTAATGTTATTTATTTATTTAATTTATAATACAATCAAAATATTGTTTTCCCGTGCATCGCACGGGCTATGCACTAGTTAGTAATATCCTGAGTAAAAGCTTGGTATCCTGAGGTTAATTTACAAAAAATACTGTGGTGTGCAGTAATTATTGACAATCAAACCTGAGGATTTGAAGGATTTTTCTGTAGTTCATGACCCTTCACATGATCACTCATTTTTCCACGAAAACCATCAGTGCTGAATGTCTTGTAATAATTATCTCTATCCGCAGCATTATTTCCCATCACGGGAAGCAGGGCTTTTGAGGAATCCAGGAAAGACTGGTCGTCGCTCAACAAGTATCTCGAAGATGCTCGAAGCTTGACAAGATCTTCCACGTCAGCAGAGCTCTTTCGTCTTAAGAGTTTGTCTGATTTATGAGTGAAACTCTTTCTGGGCTTATCATGGGAAGGTTTGTTTGAAGACAAACATGGGGCAACATTAGTCCGGTGGTCTATGCTGGAGCATATGGCTGTCGAAGCAGGCGAGGCGCAGAAAAAATCTATGGATTTCATTTTTCTTTTTTTTTTTCTTTTTCTTTTTCTTTTTCTTGTGGAAATGAGTTGAGTGAGTATGTGTGAAATTGTTGATGTAAATGTTTATGTGTTGTGGTGGATGAAGACAGGAGAAGGGTTTGGGGGAAATTAAGATCTTCAAAATGATGCCTATCAATGTGGATATAACAAAGTGAAGGGCTTTGAAAGTGACGGAAATGAAATTATTTAGTATTACTATTTCATTTCTTTTCTTTTTATAATCTCCTTTAACGCAAAAGGAAGATTTTTAATATAGGAAAGACAGGAAAGAAATGGTGGTCCCACTAGGGATGAAAATTGAATGTAAAAAAACTGAAACATTGGAGGGAAGAGGATTAAATTAATTATCTGAGCTCTTTAACTAAAGTTGATCGTTTAATTTTGGCCATATTTTCAATAATTTTCTTTTTTCAAGTGTAGTGGGTAGGTGAAAGAAGTTGTGAATGAAGGCTTTTTGTTGTGTGTGTGTGTGATGATTACCAGCACTATTCATTTTCAAGCGGTGTGCTCTCATATTATTGATGCATGATTGCTAATTATCAACATCATTAGTAATAGCCAGCCAGAATTGACTTATAATTGGAATAAACTGCCGAAAGTTGCCCTTAATGTCTGTTTTGAGTATATGTTTCTTTCTTTATTAAGCTAACTACGCATTGTCTATGGTAATCAATTGATCAAAAAGATCGGTCCATCCTTCTTTCTTAAGCAATGCCCAAATCGTTTACTGATATCAGAGAGATTATCCAATATCATATTGGGTATTGGTCGAGCGCTGCTCTATGTGATGTTATATGTGTAGTTTTTAATTTCGGAAAAAGGCCAAGAAAAAGGAAAGGAGAGAAGATTAACAAACAAAAACATAAAGCCTGAGTGAAACACGCTTTTCTTAACAAGAAAATTTGTCATCAACAATACGACTTGTATTGACAGTGTTATGTCAAATACATAAAGTTTTGGTGAACTTTTAATATTAATGAGCTATTTATAAATGTAGAAAAAAAAAAATATCCTCGTGGTTCTAAGTCCAAAAGTTCCATATGACAAAATCGGGCTCCATTCACCAAGCCAGCAGCACTTAAGCTCCAGCAAATGCAACATGATAGCGGGCGAGACAAACATCTCTCCCTGACAGCAGGTTTCAGTTATAAACTCGTGTCGTGATGGACTTTTGTGTTGGCCGTCGCAACGCGATTGTTGGTATATAGATTTTGTAGATATGATGGTGTCTTTCAGTTATAAACTCGTGTCGTGACGGACTTTTATGTTGGCCGTCGCAACGCGATTGTTTGTATATAGATTTTGTAGATATGATGGTGTTGAGTAGTAAAATGGTTAGTGAGTTTGAATCAGTTAATGGAAATAATTCTTATTCACACAGGAGCTTTAAATTGTTTTTCTCATTCAAACTTTCATGTGTTGAGTACATAGATAGATAGACAAATGAAGTGGTACTTCTAGATTTTTCATCTTGCCACCTTTCATTTTTTATGTAAGGAAGCGTACGAGTGGAATGAAATTAATGAATCACAATCTCAAGAACACCTAAACACGATATTAATTCATATTTAATCCACCACTTAACAATAAAGCATAAGAGTCCTTTATATAAGGCTCTCAATATTAAAACCTAACTTATTCTCCAAGCAACCTATTAAATAATAATGCTAATAATTATATCCCATAATACTAATATTATATCCGCATCATTCTCCCTGGTTCGAAAGGCTTCGCACTCGAAGCCGCACCAAACGTGCCGACCCGGAGTTGTACCCATGGAATCAATTGTCCGTTGATTTCCCCTATCAAACACGAAGGTGGAAAGTCGCTCAATAGCTCCGATAGTAAACATAATGTTGAGAAATGAGGTAACTGCAGCAAAGGCAATTTTACACGCCCCCATACTCATAAACCACCCAGCGGAATTAACACCAGAAATACCACATCTTTCGTCGTTCTCAAATCCACAATTACGGCCAAGCATTCCTTTGTTGGAATACTTTGGTATAGACAGTCGTAAAATGCCCCAACAGCTTTTGAGACCTAACCTTGGCTCTGAAAAACCATGCATGGCCAAGATACTCCAAAAAATGGGTCCGACCGCCAGTTGCCTATTCGAAGGTTCAACCTCTGCAATGTACCACGCGGGACCCATGCCGCTACAAATATGTTTCTTCGTCACCGGAAGCTCCTCATAAAAATTGGGCGAACCATTGTACAATGGCCCGTCAACTTTCTCTCCGTCGAATTCGGGAATGTCAACGCGAAGCGGGCCCTCCCATTGACCATATTCAGGATCAGATTCCCTCTGCATTGGCCCAAATTCTTCAGCTCCTTAGCAGGCCCAAAAAACACGCTAAAAATCCCAGCGCGGCTCATCGCCAACGTCTGACGGACATCGCACGTCGCGTGCTGCTGCCAATCTCCCGCGATGCCATCGTGCTGTAGGTTCCGACCCCGCTGTAGTTGTTCATTGTCAAAGTATGTTGTGTCGCGCCCGATGTCCTAACGGCGTCGCTGCCAGTCGAACCCCACGAAGCCGACGCCATCACGGTAAAGTTTCCAATCATGTCGGGCACGATATCAGCCGACGAAGTCAGCCTCCTCGCGCCTGCCTCTGTTGTTGAGTTGATCGTCGTTGTCCACATAGACCGGGCCCCGTTGTCGCATGTCACTGCCGCTATATGCAACGAAGGGGTCAGTCTCGACGTGCGGGAGTGGTTAATCGCAGAGGGATTCACTTCTGTGATTGTCTCCTCGCCGTATTCGTCGTTGGGCGGTGGTTGTACAGATCTTTGACGGGGCACCCCGCCTAGACCACGACCTTCACGTCTGTCACCGAACTCCTCCACGGATGCCTCAGTCGTCCATGTCACGGTACGTTTTCCCATCTCCAACCATGGTATGGATAGTGAGACGCAACTCTTCGATCCCCACGAAAGATCCTCAACCTGACGATCCAATTGATTGATCTGGTAGCCGAAGCCTTGGCTCGTCGACCCCGGATGCCCAATGGTGGTGTGACGCCCGTTGATGTCGTCTCTTCTCACTGGTATCTTGAATTGTGTTAACTTCTGATACAAACTGATGTAGGGAAGCGTACGAGTGGGACGATATTAATGAGATTGCAATCTAAAGAATATCTAAACGTGATATTAATTCATATTTTATTCAAAATCCACAACCTAACAACGGAGCATAAGAGTCCTTTATATAAGGCTCTCAATATTAATACCTAACTTATTCTCCAAGCTACCTATTAAGTTATTATGCTAATAATTATATCCCTTAAAACTAATATTATATCCGCATCAATCTATTTCCAGAATGACCTTATTAATTAATTATTCTAATTGAGATTCTAGATTAATCTAGGTGCATATATATTATTTAGGAAATGAGCATTAACTTTAACACTTCCTCTTACGCTCATTGAGATAATTCCAAGCTTGTCCTGTAGTCTCTCGAATCTTGGTTCGATAGGGCTTTCGTAAAAATATCTGCTATTTGATCTTCTGTGGCGATATACTTAACCTCTATTTGCTTGTTCTTGTATGTAGCGGTTTTGTGCGGCTTGTCTCTTAATTTATTTTCTTTTGTAGTGATTTCTCTTGTATTTGGCTCGACAGCTGCTCGATTGCAAATTTTATGGTATCCTTGTTGTGGTGGCTTTGAAACTTGTCTTCTAATGACTGTGTTTGCTTGCTTCTCCTATTGTGTGATTTAGGAACTCCGATATTTTTCTTCTTGGTAACTTCTCCTAGATTGTTGAGACTTGATTTGGTAATTTGTGTTGAGTATTGAAATTCCTTTGCAAAACACTGATTCTTCCTCATTTTGATTGTTGAAATTACTTTATTGTTCTTGTCATAAATGGTGAATGATTCTCCTATAAAAATGCAAGTTGTAGTCTTTCTTCAACATTTCGCGACACTTAGTAGATTTTGATCAATTGCTGGAACTAAGAGGACATATTTGATGTATTTTGTCCCTTTTCTTGTCACAATGGCGATAGTTCCTTTGCCCGTTGCTTCCACGTAGTTGTGGTTTCCAATCATGACTTTTGAACTGAATTTTTCAATATTGCAAAAACGATTTTCATCAAAAGTCGTGATTGTTGCACCCGTTGTCCAAGTAATTCTTCTTTTGTCTCATGTTGTACTATTGGAAGCGTAGAATAGTAATTCTTCTGGTCCTATCTCTTCTGAAAAATTGACTTGTTGACTATGTCTTCTGCCCCAACAGTTTTTCTCTATATGGTCATACTCTTGACAATTTTTGCATCAGTTTTTCTCTTGAAACCATCATTCTTTTTTTTTTTTGTGATTATTTTTATTGTAAATTTTACATGGTGTATCATACCATATTTTATTTATTTTTTATTTTTTCTCCCTAATTTTAGAACTATGAGGTCATAAAGTTAGGTTTGACTAAAATTTTGACTGTATCGTTTTCATGCATACTCAATTTTTTCTCATAAGCTTCAAGTGAACCCATGAATTCAATCAATGACGAATTTTCCAAATCTTTAGTTTCTTCATTCGTCGTGACGATAGGATCATATTTAGCTGGTAGAGTAATTAAAATATTTTCTACCACCCTTTTGTAAGTAATATTTTCTTAATATGCTTTTACTTGATTTACTACCTCTCGAGTGTAGTAATCTTTTACGGCCTCATATTTTTGCATCTTCATATTTTCTAAATCTGTCCTTAGGGTTTGTAATTTTAGATGGTGCACCTTGTCAATGCCTTGATATTCTTCCATTAGAATATCCCAAGTCTGCTTTGACGTTTGTGCTCTGCTGATTCTTTGGAATAGAGACTCCGTCATAGCCATTTGTAGTGTGAAGAGTGCTATACTATCTTTCTCCTTCTACATGTCAAATTTATCTTTGTCCGTCGTAGACAAAGTGGATATGTCTTTGGGGATAGTGTACCCGTTCTCGACAATATTTCATAGGCCTTGAGACATAAAAT